GTAGGCTTTCCTACCACGTCCACTTTCCTCAGGGTTGTTTGGGGGCTTGCCTGGGGTCTCCCAGACAGGGAGGGACAAAGCTGGGGTTCAAAGCAGGCCTCAGCTCCAAAGCCCATACAAGTCCCACGCTGCCTCCACTTCCTGTGCCTCTCCCCACGACAGGGCTGGGTGGCAAGGGGCTCAGGGCGGCCTTGGCCCGTCGGGCCAGGAGGGAGACGAGCTCCCGCCACCCTCCCGTGAGCCCCCGTCTCACCATCAAGGCCGGCGCTCCCGCCAGGTTGCCGCCGATCGCCGTGAAGTTAAAGGGAGAGATGGCTGCCACGAAGCCCTGGGGAGGAGACAGCGGTGAGGCCGGGCTGGAGGAGGCCAGCTGCCCCTCCCGCTGCTGCACCTGCGGTGGGGTACCTCCAGCCCCCGGTACACCACGCTGTTGGTGCTGGGCGGCACGCTGAGGGGCTGCTCCCCCTCCAGCTCCATGGCGAACTTGGCGTTGAATCGGAAGAAGTCGATGAGCTCGGCCGCCGCGTCGATCTCCGCCTGGATCACCGTCTTACCCTGCAAGGGCGAGCCAGGCACGGCAGTGGGCATGGCCCCGTGGGCCCTCTTCCCACTCCTACCCTTCGCCCACGCGAGTGCTGAGCCCCAGTGGAGACCGGGAACCTCCATGGGCTGACTGGGCCCCACCCAGGGCTGCAGAGGGAAGGGACCCCAATCCTCAAGCACCTGAGCCCCAGGCCTAGTGTCCTCTGGCTAGACGGGGATCAACAGCACTTACCAATCCCCAGCTATGGCTTGTATGTGCCCCCCAAATTCATGCACTGATATTTGGCTGTGATGGGTTTCATAAAGTAACAACTTCATCAGACTATGACGCTGAAAGGCAAGGTCTTAGGGTCTCCGTGATCGACTCCGGGGGTGTACGAGGCAGACATGACACGAGCACGCACAGACATGCTCCCGTTTTCTCATGATACGATGCCCTGCCTCGGGACCCGCCAGCAGGAAAACTCACACCCGACGTGGCCCTGGACTGGGACCTCCCAACCATGAACTGAATACTCTGTCCTCGTAAGTCGCCCCGACTGTTGTTAGCTACAGAGCAGACTAGGACGCCTCCTGCCTGGGCCAGGCATTCCATGCTGTCTTAGTGTTGCGGCCACCCTGAATGGTACACAGCAACCCATCTGTGACCACACCCGCAGACCAAACTCAAGACCAGAACCTTCCAGAAAAAAGTGCACAACAGTATGAGCAGAGAATGGGGCTTTTCCACAGCAGGGTGGGTCCTCCTCTGCACACGGGGTCACTGGCAGGTGCTCGCCCCGTGAGAAGCATAGAGCAGAGGAAGCTGAGCTAAGTGCGGCCCAGACTTCCTTCCCTCCTTAAGCGAAATCAGGAGGGAAGCTAATCTGATCTCCGAGCGTGTGGCTCCCTGCCAGGCCTGTCTCGCAGAGCTCTGAGCTGGACACCCACCACAGGCTGCTAAGAGGCGGCATCTCTCAGGTGCCGTGATGCCCTCCCACCTCTGGGCAGCAGGGGGGTTCTCGCTGCGGAGACAGTGAACAGGAAGGAGCAACTGGGCTGACCGTGAAGGCGTCCTGGGTTCTGGCCTCTGCCATCTGCCTGTGGAAACCCAGACAGCGGGCGCCCTAAGGCTCAGTTCCTAGAGACGGTACCCGCTTCTCCCTCATGTCCTCTCCCCAGCTCACCGCTCTGCTAGCGCCACTCCTCAGTCAACAAGCATTCTCTCAACATCCTTTATCAGGGGCTTCCTACAGCTCTTGTCACCGCAACATGAGAATGTCAAGATGTGATCACGGGACCAGCAGATGGCGTAATGGGTACGTCACTGGACTCCCATGCAGACTGTGGTTCGTGTCCCAGACCTGGTAGCTTAAAATTCACACTGGGCATGTAAGCATGCACACCCCAAATCCCAAGAGGAGAAAGAAGAAGCAATTGCAGCGTGGCCATTCCCCCTGGGGGATATGTCACTTTCTGTCTCTGTCTTTCTTTCTCTCCAGGGGGCTCACACATCCTATGCAAAAATATGTCTCAAAAAAAGCCAATGTGATCACTATGCGCAGAAAGCTTGCTAAGGGGCGGTAACTACACAGGAAGTCCATGATCTGAGCTGCAACTAAGGAAGGAACCGCACACAATGGCAGCACAGAGGCAGCACTTATCCTCAGGGCCCGAAAAGGTTCAGAAGCCTGTGGAGGAGGAGCCATCTGGACCAACCAGAAGGGAGGAGTTCACAGGTGGAGGACAGAAATGATACCTGTGGCACCCAGGGAGTCTTATGGAGCCCAGGCAAACCACGGACAGGATGGCCTGCAGGGAAGGGCAGAGCAGCCAGTGAGCTGGGCTCTGGGAATGGTTGGGGCTGCAGACCTGGGACTGCATCTGTGATGGAGAGACCTCAGACAGCCCTAAGGCAGGAGGAACCTGCAGGGGGCAGCAAGGCCTCATAGAGTGGGGAGCAGGGAGACTGTGGGGGGAACTTCCAGGCCAGGCAACGCACAACAAAGGCCCAAGAGCTGGGGCAGAGGACACGGGGCAGGGGGCACCTGGTCTAACCTAGGCCTCGTCCCTCAAGGATATCTCTGGATCTCCTACAGGGCTGGGCCCCCAGAAGTCGTACAGCACTGGCTGCTGAAGTGGATGAGGAGACTCCTCCTACGCCAGCCCACTGGGCCCACCAGCACCTCACCTGTCCCACCATGGTCTTGGCGAGGATCTCAGCCCTGCGAGGCCCGCTCAGCATATCAGCCGCCTTCAGGAAGATCTGGGCCCGGTCTGCAACAGGCTTCAGGTCCCATTCTTTCCTGGCAGCCAAGGCGGCCTCGATGGCCTTGTTGAGCAGGGCCTAAAGACAAGGAAAGGCTGGGGGGTGCTTCCTGCAGCCGATGGGTCACGAGGAAAAAGCACCCTCCCCTCCAGCAGACACTCAGTCCAAGCTGCAGACACCATGCCCCATGGCCAGCTGGGCCAGCCCCAGCCAGGAGTTTGCCCTGCTGCCTGTCTGAAATCCCGAGAGACCTGCAGGCTGTTGGCGTGCTGAGAACTTGGTGCTGGGTCCCATGGCCGTTGAACTGGCCCTACTTTCCCCCATAGGCTAACCAAAGGCTCCCGATTCTTGGACCTGGTATGAGCTGGTGTCCTTGAACCCACCATCCAGAGCCTCCCACCCTCGATTCAGAACTGTGCCTGAGACACACACCTGCTGTTGGCATCCCAGATGCCACATGACCCTGGCTCCTAGACACCCTGTCACAGGTCACTCCAGCCCCTCCCACTGCCCTCCCTGGTGCCAATCCCCTGCCTGGCTCAGCCCTCCAGAATCGCCCTCCTGCCCAAACCAGCGTTTGCCCCACTGCAACAGTATGCCCAGTGATGCCCCAGCGCTGGCCCAGGAAGCTCTCTCCAGATGCAAGGGAACCTCCGCACACCTGGTCCTGTCAAAGACATCACCCAGGGACTCTCGGTGCCAGTTGCCCCCGCCCGTCCATCCTCACAGGCCCAGAGAGCAGCAGAGACTGGCAACCCCAACACCGAGGTCACTGGGGACTCACTCACCTTGTCTGCGTAACAGAACTTGGCCACCCTGTGCCTGTGGTTAAAGGGCTGAAAGGAGAGAAGAGTGAGGTCACTGCCCGGGGTGGGGGGCGGGTCTCCAATGGCCCCAGCCCGCATGGATTCCTCCGCCCCGGGGATTATGGAGCCAGGAGGGGATGGGTCACACAGTTTTTCAGGGAACATGTGGACTCCGTGGTCAGACATGATTCGAATCAGCTGTGCCATCTGCAGGCTGTGGGCCCTGCGTGCGCTCCCTTCCCCTCCAGGTCTCCTCCTGGGGACAGGCTGTGCTCCACCCACAGCAGGGAGAAACGAGAAGGGACCACGCATTCGTAATTCTTCCAAACCAGGCCTGGCATCAGCTCAGTAAAGGCACTGGCACCAGGTGAGGCCCAAAGGGATGTGCCAGCATTGGGACGTGTTCGGTACCTCTGCCATCCCCCAAAGTGACCTGGGAACGGGGTGCTACTCCCTGGGCCCTGTGTGAGAGACCCAGATTTACTCTAAGTGGGAAAATGTCAATATTTGCCCCTGGAGCCTGGCAGTGCCCAACACCAGCCTGAGCAATAAACAGGAGAAAGTTCACTCCTTTCCCTGCCAGGGCTGGCAGTGTGTGTGTGTGTGTGTGTGTGTGCACTCACAGGCATATGTAGTATTTCTTACATGAGAGAGCATGTAAGAGCTCATGCACATGTAGGTGTGTGTATGTGCACACACATCAGAGAGAAAAGTGGGGAGAGAGGGAGGGGGAGGGGAGAAGACAGGCACTCCCGTCAGGGTCTCGCCTTCCCCACCGCCACCCCTGCTCATCAGGACCTACGTGTGCGAGCACCTGCTGCTTCAGGTGAGGCTGGGACCTGAACCCACAGTCGGCCATGTGGCTTTCCCAGCCCTGGGATCAGCACACCACTTCCACCTGCACCTGAGGCTGGCCAGCGATATACTTCATGTCATAATTAACAACGCTGCTGGCCCATTGTCTTCCAAGGGGTGGTGTGGACTCTGTTCCTAACACAGTAGCCTCGAGCCACGTTTCGTGGCCTGACACCACATGTGGCAAGCGACGGACAATGCAGACAGAGAACAAGGCCATCACTGGGCAGCGCTGGGCTAGGTTTGAGTAGGAAGTTTTAACCCTGGCACAGTTACCTGTATCCTGCCCACACCTGAGACTGGTCTATGATGCCTACAAGCAGTGGCCAAGACCTGGGGCCTTCAGATGAGCATGCCCAAAGGCCTGCAGGTAACTCCAGGGCAGACACAGAGCACCCTCACACCCACCAGGATCTCACGTGTCTGGCACTGTAAGATTACCACATGGCCGAATCCCCCAGCCAAGCCAATGAGACAACAGGGGGACTGCACCATAAATGCCTGCTCAGGAGGGGCCAGGGGACGGCGTAGCAGTAATGTTACTGGACCCGCATGGGAAAGGTCCTAGGTTCCCATCCTAGGCCTCCCTGAGTACGCCAGGCCCACATGTGTGCTGTGATCCAGGCCAGCTGAGACTGTGGAGGGTCACGGTGTGAGGACCCTGTTGAGGAATGGGTCTGTGTGTTTTGCTCCTTCCTTCCCTTAGAACAAACAAACTTAAAAAAATGTATATATATTTGTGTGTGTGTGTGTGTGTAGGTGTGTGTATAAAATAAATATATAGTAAAATGTCTACTCAGGAGGTCATTGAAATCTCACCATCTCATGCCTTGGAAAACCCTGGGGCCATAGCAGCCCCGGAGACTCAGGGAGCTGCGGGTGAGAGCAGATTCCAGGCACGTAGAGGTGACCCTCATGCATAGGGTCATGAGGTCTAGTCAGCCAGCAACTGGGCACTTACCCGGTGGAGACCCTTTAGGCCTGGCCTAAAAGCCCACAGCCCTCAGGTTAGGTACCTAGTCCTCACATGTGGTCAACCTCTGCCCCAGGCTGTCCTCGGAACCCTCAGAGCAGAGGGCCTGGGTCTTCCCCGCTCACCCTTCCCCCAGCGCCTGCCCAGGATCCCTGCTGCACTGCCCATTAGGACTAAGGGCGGTCGTGTGAACTCCTCATGGGCTGGGCACAGGCTGGGCTTTTACAGAACCGGGGAGAGGACTGTAAGCCCCTTGATGGCGGAGGCCACGTGCCACATGCTTACAAGCGGTCAGAGAGGGAGCCCCCGACTCAGGGGAGAGGCTGAGCTCTGCCCACCCACTGGTCTTACCGACACCTGGTACTGCACATCCGACGTCCATACTTCCTCGTCCCCCACCACACACGGGATAGCTTCCGTGTGGCCCTTCAAGTCCTGCAAGGCCTGGGGAGGGGACAGGAGGGCAGATGGGCACTTCTCCCACCCAATCCCCCCGACAGGCCTACAGATGTCCAGGCAGGAGCACAGCAAAAAGAGGGCAGGTTGGGTCTGTGGACAGCAGAGGGCGCATGTTTCCCTCGGGGGCAGGGGGGCCACTCCAGCCACTGTCACCCTGCAGCCAGGTGAGGCCAGGGTTGCCCAGCCTCACATTACAACATCGAAAACTGCACCTGAAATGTAGGTGAATCTCATGACTCTTAAAATAGTGGCAATTGGGACTAGCAAGTGGCAAGGTGAGTAAGGTGCTGGGCTCCCACATGGCTGACTGTGGTTCAAGTCCTGGACTTGGTGGCTTGCTTTCTCACTTTCTCTCTCTCTGGTCAAATTAAAAATAATAAAGTTAAATAAATAATTTTTAAAAAAAATACTGGCAATTAGCTGGAAAGCATTGAGTATAAAACATGTGGGCTTATGTATGACCTGTGACCTGGCCTGGAAAATCCCAAAGTGGCCCCAGGCTATCCCTGTCACTCCAATTCCTCCACACTCCAGACCCACAGCCCTCCCCAGACCCCAGGCGGCCTCCCAGGGCTGGGAGCAGAGCCGATGCAGAGGATGGCCGTGCCCCAGGCTGTCCTCGGAACCCTCAGAGCAGAGGGCCTGGGTCTTCCCCGCTCACCCTTCCCCCAGCGCCTGCCCAGGATCCCTGCTGCACTGCCCATTAGGACTAAGGGCGGTCGTGTGAACTCCTCATGGGCTGGGCACAGGCTGGGCTTTTACAGAACCGGGGAGAGGACTGTAAGCCCCTTGATGGCGGAGGCCACGTGCCACATGCTTACAAGCGGTCAGAGAGGGAGCCCCCGACTCAGGGGAGAGGCTGAGCTCTGCCCACCCACTGGTCTTACCGACACCTGGTACTGCACATCCGACGTCCATACTTCCTCGTCCCCCACCACACACGGGATAGCTTCCGTGTGGCCCTTCAAGTCCTGCAAGGCCTGGGGAGGGGACAGGAGGGCAGATGGGCACTTCTCCCACCCAATCCCCCCGACAGGCCTACAGATGTCCAGGCAGGAGCACAGCAAAAAGAGGGCAGGTTGGGTCTGTGGACAGCAGAGGGCGCATGTTTCCCTCGGGGGCAGGGGGGCCACTCCAGCCACTGTCACCCTGCAGCCAGGTGAGGCCAGGGTTGCCCAGCCTCACATTACAACATCGAAAACTGCACCTGAAATGTAGGTGAATCTCATGACTCTTAAAATAGTGGCAATTGGGACTAGCAAGTGGCAAGGTGAGTAAGGTGCTGGGCTCCCACATGGCTGACTGTGGTTCAAGTCCTGGACTTGGTGGCTTGCTTTCTCACTTTCTCTCTCTCTGGTCAAATTAAAAATAATAAAGTTAAATAAATAATTTTTTAAAAAAATACTGGCAATTAGCTGGAAAGCATTGAGTATAAAACATGGGTGCTTATGTATGACCTGTGACCTGGCCTGGAAAATCCCAAAGTGGCCCCAGGCTATCCCTGTCACTCCAATTCCTCCACACTCCAGACCCACAGCCCTCCCCAGACCCCAGGCGGCCTCCCAGGGCTGGGAGCAGAGCCGATGCAGAGGATGGCCGTGGGCATGGACAGGTATCTCAGGGAGGCTGTTACTGCTCCACGCCCTACACCCTCAGGGCGCCCCCATCCTCCCGTTACCTTCTGCAGGGCATCTCGCTCGGGGCTGCCCTTGGTGAACGCTAAGACAGGCTCGTTGGCCACCTTCAGGGAGGTCGTGTTCTTCCACCGCAGCCTGGGGCACGGGCAGGGAAGAGGGGGACAGCAGACAGGTCAGCAGCCACCACCACCCGCTCCTAGCCCCTGCATCTCAACAGGAGGTCCCGGGTGGCCCAGAAGCCTGAAGTCCAAAGCAACTCCAGAACTGGGGGTGAATGCGGACCTCGGGGTCCAAAACTCAAGGCTCATGTCCCCGTCCTGCAAGTCACTGGGCATGTGTCTTGCCCCCTCTGAGCTGGTTCCTACACCTGTTGGGAGAGAACAAGCACACCAGGCTCACATGCCTGCCTGAAGGTCAAACACAGCCAGGTAGGCAGGACAGGTGGGTGGGGCGACTCCCCCCACTCTCCCACAGTGTGCCTGTATCCCTGCATGCCCAGCAGACCCAGGGGCTGGCTTCTCTAAACTGAAAGGAGCCAAGTCGCGTAGACCAAACCAGCTGAGATCCCTGGGCGCGAAGCACAGAGGGCTCCGGGCGGGTAAGAACATCCACGCTACAGACCGGACCATGGACTGGGCATGCTGCCCTGAGCTCGGTCCACAGGGGCAGGCAGGGCTGGTTGGGAGGGCTCGGTCTGATTTCAAGGGACTGAGTTTCACACATTCTTTGCTTGAACTCTGATCTGACCAGTAGTCACTGCCCACTGCCACACTTGGGGGCTGTGGGTCACTGGCCAGGCCTCTGGTCAGTCATTCCAGCTGGAGCCCAAGCACCCCCACTTCCCATCTAGGCCTCAGTTTCTTCATGCGTCCATGAGCACGGAGACCGCAAAGCCCACCCGATGCCCACAGAGCACACTAACGCTGGCAAAGCCTTTGTCCACCGTGGCAGCAGGTGGGCCTCACCCGCAGCCCCTTCAGAGAAATCAGGTCCCTTTGGTCTTAAAAGGAAAAATGACTAGTTTGAGATCAAGATCAGCAAAACCCCAGAGGTGTGTCTAGAAAAACCCAGATGCCACCCCCTCCAGCCTCACTGCCCCAGCAGACATCACCAGGAACACACGGTTGAGCAGGCTCGTGTATTGAGAAGATGCTGCTAGAAAAAACCTACTAGAAGAGTGGCAACGCACTGCACCTGCACAGGAAAGGTGCTGGGTTCACGTCCTGGGACCGCCCTGAGCACAGCAGGCACGTGCGCCCATGCTGCGGGCCAGTACCATGAGAGGTGGATCGCAGGGCGAAGGGGTGCCCATCTGTCTCCCTCATGGAAGAAAACTGGGGCTCGGGTAGGGTGACCTGGGGAGGATTTAAGGAAGCCAGGGTTTGCTGTGGATTGGAGGCTATGAGAAGGTGGGGGCAATTCTACACGTGGGCAAGAAGGGACCAGCTCCTCGCTTAGCAATAAGGGGCGTGTCTGGTACTCTGAGGGTGGCACCGTGGCCTTGTTTTTGTCTGTGCTTAGAAACACTTTTTATAAATCTATTTCTTCTACTTGTGAGAAAGTGTGTGTGAGCACTAGTGAGTCGGTGGGGGGCACCCTCCAGAGTCTGGTCATGACGATCCCCTTCCTCAGTTTCCCCACCCCTTTGGATCTTTTCTTATTTATTTATTTATTTGAGAGCTTTTTGCTACAGCACATGTACACTCTCCAAAAAGACAGATTGAGACAGAGACATAAAGCCAGAAATCACCCCCAGGGCGGATGGCCACACCGCAATCCCTTCTCCTCCACGTTCCTTTCAAGATTTTTGGGCACGCACGCACACGCGCCCAGTGTGAGTTTCAAGTCACTAAGTCTGGGACTCCACCAGCGTCAACCCTGTGTGAGTCCAGTGCCCCACCACTAAAGCACCTGCTGGCGCAGCCCTTTGGACCTTAGGCACTCATGCATGTGCCAGCATGTTCAGGCCGGCTGGGCGTGGGACTCATGCTGTGGTGGCCATGTGGGATCCACCTTCTCCCAAGCAGCTCCATCACGACAATGCCACAGCGTCAGCCCTGTATCTGTCTGTCACGACCTCAGTGCTGTCCTGGGCCTGCATTTCTTCCTGTGAATGGGGGAAGGTGGGGCCTGAGGAATGTGGCCCAGTACGTTGGGTGTGGTAGGGTGGGGAGAGAGAAGGGAGAGAAGGGAGAAGGGCCCTGTGCTCAGTGCCCCATGAGACTGGTTATGCGCAACAGGGGGACACGTGCCTGACTGTGAGTACAGGGGTCGGGGGGATGCTGCTTTTTCTTTCTCACTGGCAAGATGTTTGGGGGCTCAAAGACCCAGTCTGGAAGCCTAGAGGATGAAAAAAAAACAACAAAGGACCATGTCTCTGAGGGCCTCCTGCATATCTGATGCTGTTCTGATCCTGGGGCACAGCCATGAGAGATGGCACGGCCTCAGAGCTGCACAGCTCTGCCCAGCAGCTGGGGTGCCAGGAAGTAGTCAGCGTAGTTACAGATGGTATCACAGAACGAGAGCAAGAGGGGACGGTGGCCAGGGAGGGCCTCTGATGAGGTGACCTCCAGCTGAAACCTGACAGAGAGGACTGGACTACCATTCCAGGAGCAGGAAGAGCCAGTGCGAAGGCCCAGGGAGGCAGTGTGGGTGAGGGAGAGCACAGACGCCTGAGCAGGTGGGGTGGTGGGAGAGACGCAGGCAGCAGCTGGATCGCCTCCAGATCCCAAAGGGCAACATGAGCACATGGGCCCTTCTCCGTCACCCCACCTCTGGGCCAGCGGCTCTACTCCACCTGGCCACACCTAAAGAACTGAGCTACATTCCTCAGGCCCCGCCCTCCCCCATTCACAGGAAGAAAGGCAGGCCCAGGACAGACCTCACCCCTGCTCCTGCTCCATCCTCCCACACGCTGCAAGCCTTTCAGCAAGTGACTTGTCTCGGAGCTGGCTTCCCCGTGTGAAATGGTGAGCCCACTGCATGGGGTTCCTACTGAGGTCTGACAGACACTGGTGCAAAGTTATAGGTGTGCTCCACGCATTAAAATCTACACTGCTCCCTCAACCGTTACCACAGGGAAGAATGGAGAGGCAGCCACAAGCCCCATCAGCCCCTGCCGCCTGCCCCCAAGGGCGATCTGGAAGGTTCCAGCTGGGCTCTGAGCTGAGTGGCTGACTGCACATTCCAGCAGCCTACCTCAGGGTCCCAGGAGCACCACACCTAGTACAGTGTGTAAGTGTCTAAGTTACTGAGTCGTCTCAGCCCCTCTGACCCAGTGTCTGCAGGTTGAGAAGAGCACAGGTTCTGGAAGAGGCATATCCGGGTCCTAACCCACACCTGCTCCTGCTCAGCATGTTATGATAAAAACTCTGCCAGCTCATTTCCGCACCTGAAAAATGGGGATTGTATCCGGTACCTGTAGCGAGGTTCTGAAGACTGGACCTCATCCCTCCAGCTCAGGAGCTTTCCTAAGAAGCTGGAAGGGGCTTTGAGAATGTCACTCCCCTACACCAAGCTTTCAAAGGCAAAGTGGAGGGTCCAAACACCAGGCCACAGGGGGAGGTTCTGGGTGCATGTCCAGACACTTCCCTGAACACGCCCAATGCATGACCGTGATCCAGGGCTGGTTGAGGCTGGGGGGACTGTTATGTGAAGTCCCTTTGAAGGTAGAGAGCTGTCTCACTCTCAGTCTGTCTCCCTCACTCATAGAAGAAAGCAACTTTAAAAAGGCCAATAGGTGGATTGAAACTCACACTGAGTATGTGTGCATAAATGCCCAAAATCCCAAGAGAAGAATGGAGGAGAAGGGATTGTGGTGTGGCCATACCTTCTAGGGACTGATTTCTCACTTTCCCTTTCACTGTTTCTCTCTCTCTCTCTCTGGCAGGTGCATGCACCCTATGACAGAAACTTTAAAAATAAATAAATAAAAAGGCAAAATGGTTCCCAAATGCCCTCTGGGATTACATGCTCAGGAGGGCCCAGGTACTCAACACCTGTGAGTGGAATAAATCAGCACCATGTAGCTGTGCTCCTCACCTGCCATGTTCCAAGAGCCCAGAGGGTGCTTGAAACAGTGGAGAGGACCACCCTCTGCAGATGTGAGGGTTTTTGACTCCACTAAGCAAAACTGCTAAGTGACTCACAGTACTACACAGTGTAGACACACTGGACAAGGGAGGGTTTGTGTCCCAGGAGGTAACAGGGCAGCACAAGATTTCATCACACTAGTCAGAGGGACACACAAGTTAAAACTCATGAAGGACTAGGGCAACTGAAGATTTTCTGCTCCAACTTCACCCTCCAGACCCAAAAAGGTAGACAGCCTCCACACACTGAGTGTGTAGACAGGTCTAGGTGCACAATAGCCAGACAACTTAATAGACTCCAGAGTAAGCAGCAGGGAAAAAGAAGAGCTGCAAAGAGAGTATGGCTCATCTCCACCCACACATCTCTGAATTCTCAGTTGAAACCACAGTTCAGGGGTATACCTGTTTTCTAGAAACCAGGAGGCCTTTGTAATACCCAGTTCCAACCACAAAAGTGCAGGTTGCTTGATGAGTGTCAGGGAAACGGAACTGCAGAGAGACTGTGGATCACCTTCTCTCATACACCTCTGAACACTCAGATTTAACTCTGAGAAATTAGGAAGAAACATACAATCCATCAAATGACCAGAAACCACTGCAGAGGCACAATAAATACGAGAAACCAAGAAAATCTCTCTCCCCCAAGGGAAAAGAACAAATCTTCATCATCCACAGACAGTACAATGGGACTCATCGAAATGTTAGATAAAGAATTCAGAATATTGGGACCAGCAGTTAGTGTAATGGCTATGTCGCTGGACTTCCCTGTAGTCAAACACGATTCACGTCTCGGACCCGGTGGTTTAAAACTCACGCCGGGCGCATGTTCGTGTGTGCCCAAAATCCCGAGAGGAGAATGGAGAAGGGATTGTGGCGAGGCCATCCCCCCCGGGGGGTGGGGGGTGATGCTTTCTGTCTCTCTGTTTTTCTATGTCTGTCTGGCAAATGTACGCGCTTTACAGCAAAAAAAAAAAAAAATCTTCAAAAAACAAGAATTCAGAAATTCATAGTAACAAAACTAACCAAGATGCAAGAAAAGAGAGA